TGACCAGACCAAGGGTCAAGGATCATGCTCCACAAGGGATTTATTATTAGTTGTAGCTTCGACATTGAGAAATATTTCTATTAAGGACATAATAGTTTTACCACATCAGCGTCTGTTCCATTAAGTTGTAAGACTTCATGACCGAAAATATTACGAAGAACTGCCACACAATTTCAAATATGCTTACTAAAGTTTATGTTTTCAGTCCACAGAGCAATAGTAATTTGCTAAGCTAGGTAACACCACAAGAGACTACGAAAATTTGCTTTAGGAGGAGATTCTGAGTCGAAATTATGTACTGAAAGCTCGAGGCGTAAAGGTTCCCTAACCCTAATTCCAGATCAAGGTTGCATAACAGTAAAGATTCTGACATGTTGATGTAGGCGTGGATGCTCCGATGTGTACCTGCTTAAGCCAACCTGTGTCAGCTTAAGTTTTTGACAGCCAAACAGCCATATATGCTTTGTCCAATGAGTGGATCCACTTCTCTTCGCAGCAAAAACACCATAACGCTGTGCGATTTCCAGGCCACTGTGGGATCTGGCATTTACGACACCAGCGCCACACTTACCTCTCTTCCTCTACCGGGGTGCTTTAGCATCTCGTGAGTCAAGCGGAAGTGAGGGTCGAGAATTTTTCTTCAAGGTTTAGAATGAAATTTCAGGTGGCCGTGGCCTCACTCGCTTCCAAATTTTTAACTGCTTAACTAACTAACTAAGTAAAGAGTACACTAACTAACCGACTAAATATTTAGATAGCTAAATATTTAATTAACCAGCTAAGTAGCTAATTAGCTAACTTAATAACGTAGTAGTCTTTAATAAGTATAATAATTTTAGCACGTTTCCATTTTTTAGAACACCCTTTATTTGAAGTTTTTTTCTCATAATGTTTTATGTTTTCATTTAGCTCTTCTCTCTTTTAGTTATCATTGCTTCCATTGGTTTCCTACAAATTTAATTTGCACGTGACGTGACGGTTATGTGGGGATCTTTTTTTACCACTATTGTTTATCGTAATTGTTATTTTCTCTATACGTATGTGGTTTTTGCGCCGAATATAACTCTTCTATTGTGCAAACTCAATAACCACCCTATGCCAGTTATCACAGTCGAATTGAAATAACATTTGAATTGAGCAATAAAAAAGGTTATTGGAGAAAAAGTTTGAAAACAAAGAGCAGGCAAAAAAATTTCACCAAAAAGGACAATTCATAAAACCAACAATGCTGTCAGATAACGGTTAAAACTACATATATATGGACACACAGTTATGCAACAAACCCATGGAACACAGGTTTCAATTGTGTTTTATTTTAAACAACTATTTGCCGAAGCATAGTACGAGGATGACTAGCAGTTTATGGCGAGAAGAGTATAAAGTTATTATAACTACCAAAAGTAGCCAAAAAAGTAAATAATACATAATAACAACAACAAAAAATTTATGAAAAGCATAAAAGCTATACGCTGCCAACTGACCATTTGCCAAATGGCACAAAGGTAAATGGCATCGTGAAGCTGCAGTTGCCGCTACTAGTGGATGACAGGGCTACAGTGAGCCACCGAGGGCAAGTTGCATCACCTTTCCCCCACCTGCGTCATTATTATTTTGTATTTCGACAATTTGCCGTGCGTTGCCAATTCGTTGGGCGCCACTTTTTTGCGAGACTATTTTTTTGCAGGCCATTTTGCTTTTGTAACGCCACTTACTATTTAGTTGCTTTTGCTTTTTGCTTTTGTGTTTGCGTTTTTTCCCACTGCACAAACTTTTTAAAACTAACACAGAAAAAAAAGTAGCAAAAATTACGCACTGCATTCATTGCTGTAACTGTCAGCCACCACACTGTAATTGTATTTACGCTTCGTTGCAGCGCCAAAAAGTATGCAATGCTGACTGTGTTTATTTTTTATTTGTAGTAATTGTTATGCAATTTTTTTCTTTTTATGACAAACATTGTATACATTTTGTTTTTTTTTTGCCACACGTAAGTTGCAACAATTATAACTCAATCATAATTCTTGTTGAGTTGTTGAAAACTAATGGAAATTTTTTATTTGGTGGGTGATTTTTGATGGGCTGGGGGTCTTTAGTAGAGATTGTTGTGAATTGCAAGCATGGCTTTTAGATATGTTTTTTGGGTTATGAAAAGTGTATAAACGCCGTAAAGTATGCAATAAAATATTCAGTTTATGAAAAAGGTTAAAAAAGAAAAAGCCCTTATTTGCAAAATAGTAGACGTGGGCGATCGGAAGTAAGGACAATGAAATTATTGAAATTTTTGTTTGAAAATGTAAAATAAGAAACAGGTGCGCTGAATTGTATAAAATGAAGGTCTACAGCTGAAAAAATGGTTATTCGAGCTAAAAACTTAGAAACTTACCCTCCGAAGCTGGAATATGTGACGCTGAATAGTAATTACTAGTGCTGAATTGTAGTTAGTGCATGCAAGTTACAAAATCAACAGTTTTTGAAACAAACGGCGTGCAACTAACAGGAAGAAAAGCCTAACACAAGTGCATAATTAGGCGTAGAGGCAGTAAATTACCAAAAATAAACTGTAAAAATGGAGTTTCGTATCTAAAAAATTCTTATCAAATATAAGTTCATGGAAAATTTCCATCGAAAAATAAAAATTATACCACTGAATTGCACTTAATAACGCCGAGTTGTAAAAAAATGTAGCTAAATTGCAAAAACTGAGTCATTGTGGAAAATTTATTGGACAAAATAGGGAATAAATCCAGTAAACTGCGCTGAATTAAGCACAATGGCCTTAAACACAAAATGTAAATGC